GGTCAGTCAGGGCTGTGGGAGGTGGGGGATGGGGGGAGGCTCGGGCCCGGGTGGAAGCTCTGCAGGCCATTTCCAGGGCCTGGCGTCCAGTCTGGGACGGTGGGCAGCCCCTGGAGGGCAGTGGGCAGAAAGGATCGTATTGAATATTTTTTTTAATATATTTTATTGATTTTTTACAGAGAGGAAGGGAGAGAGATAGAGAGTTAGAAACATCGATGAGAGAGAAACATCAATCAGCTGCCTCCTGCACATCTCCTACTGGGGATGTGCCCGCAACCCAGGTACATGCCCTTGACCGGAATTGAACCTGGGACCTTTCAGTCCGCAGGCCGACGCTCTATCCACTGAGCCAAACCGGTTTCGGCCGTATTGAATGTTTTTAAAGGCCACTGGTGGTGTGAGGAGAGGAACGCGGGCCAGAGCCGGCAGCCAGGTCACCCGGAGACCTCAGGCCCCGGGGACCCTGTACCTTCACTGCGCAGCCCTGTCTCCCAACAAGGAAACCCGCCTCCAGCTGCTGCTCTCCTGCTGGGCGCTGGCTGGGAGCCCGAGTTCCTGAGGGAAAGCAAAGGCTCAGGGGTGACCTGTTGGGCTCGGGCTCATCCACGGGCCGTAGCTCCTTCATCTCACTCATCGCACGCGGAGAGAGGCAGAGCTTCCCGGCCTCCACCCTCCTCAAAACTGTGCCGCGCGGATACAGTGAGTGTCAGTGCGATGTCCCCGTGTACACTGTGTGTGGGCTGTCACCGTGTGCGCCCCACGCACCTCCTCACGCACTGCCCCGCGCAGTCACAACCACTCACTATTCCCCACAATGAACCGAATGGAAAGGCCTGCAAACCCTAAACCGGCCACTCCGCCCTCTCCGGTACGAACTGAAGTCCAGCCCGTCACTTCCTTAAGCTGAGCCAACAGCGTAGGCGACCAGGCCGCAGCTCCCGTTACAGAGACCCCCTGGGAAAGCCGCGTCCAGGGGAACCACGTGGGAGCGCCATGCCCTGCTGAGAGGGTCGGCCCCTCCTGGCTCAGGGCACCCCGACAGGGGAAAGCACCCCCTGTGTCCCCAGTCCCGCCGGGTGCCTGGGTACCGCTCTCGGATGGACGAGGCTCCAGCAGCACCAAGGGCGATGCCGGCTCCCCACTAAAAGTCTCCGTCCAGACTCTCGAGGAATCTCACTGGGCAGCCCTTAAACACACACACAGATGCTGTAATTCGCTCCGGGTCTGCAGAAACCTCAGCCCGTTCGCCAACAAACCCATGGCTTTTTTTCTTCCGAAGAGCAGGAGGGCGGGCATATGGGGTGGGGGTGGGGAGCGGCAGTGAAATGGAGTCCAGCTCCCTGAGCCGGGCTGGTGTGTGTGGGGGGGGTGGGGGGACTGAGGGCCAGTCTCTGGCTGGAGGGCGCTGGGCACCTGCCTGTAAGTTCCACCCCCAGCTCAGGAGGCCCCTGGGGCAGACGGAGCGGGGGGGCAGGGGGGTTCGGGGGGGCTTGCCGTGTGGGCATCACCAGGGCTCCTCCTCTCCGCCCTCTCCCCTTCCCTCCATCACAAACTCCCCTCAGGGTGTGTTACATCCTGAAGGGATTCTGGCAAACTACCTACACCCCTCCTTCCCGGAATAAGAAGAGAGAGAAATACATGGAAATCAATCAAGACTTTTTCCTCCAATGTCTGCGTTTAAATACAGCAGGTGGGCGGGCGGGGAGATGGGGAGATGGGGAGCAGGACAGAAACGGATACAGAACAGGATGCTCATGGGATGTGAAAGCCTGTGTGAGTGTGGGTGTAGGTGTGTGTGAGAGTGTGTGTCTGTTGGAGTGTGAGTGTGTGTATGTGAGTGTGTATGTGAGTCTGTGAGTGTGTGTCTGTTGGAGTGTGTGTGTGTGTGTGTGTGTGTGTGTGTATGTGTGTGAGCACCGTGTGAGTGTGGGGGGTGTGAGTGTGTATGTATGAGTGTGAGTGTGTGTGTATTTTGGTGTGTGTGTGTGTGTCGGTGTCTGTGTGCGTGTGTCTGTGTGTGTGTGAGTGTGCGTGTCTGAGTGTGTGTGTGAGAGTGTCTGTGCATGTGTCTGTGTGTGTCTCTGTGAGTGTGTGGGTGTGCGTGTGTCTGTGTGTGTGTCTGTGAGTGTGCGTGTGTCTGTGTGTGAGTGTGAGGTATGTGCACAGCCCGGCAGGGGATCCCTCAGGAACAGGGAGGGAGGGAAGATCCATGGAGGCAGCACCGGCGCCCCCTCCGCACCCTCCGCACCCACTGCACCCTCTGCACCCACTGCAGAGCCAGGTGATTCCCAGAAAGCTCCTGCCCCCAGGCGGACCCCCCACCCAGCAGCGCCCAGTCCTGGCAGCGAGGCCGGTGGGCAGGGGGTCTGGGCTGAGCAGGGGGTCCG